AGAAAAATTAAATTTTTAAAACCATTACAACACATTTCCATATTAAATAACCAATAGCCAGATGCTTTAAGCCCTATTACAGCTTAAATAAAAAGTCTAATAGACTTTAAAAAGTCTAAAAGTCTAATTTAATTTACACTAAATAATTTAGTGTAAATTAAAAATATTGTCAAATGTCCCATCTAAGGAATCTTATCGATTTTGAAAACCTAAACAAGAAAAAACACAAATTTTGTCATTTTAGTCAAAGTAAAGTCGCTATCTTCAACATATTGCTGAAGATAGCAACTTCCTGTTAATTAGTTGCCTTTGATGGTAATCTCTACTCACAGAAGATATTTGAAAATTTAATTTGAATCTATGTAATCTGCCTTTGGTCCAAATTTTGCTAATGTAATACCTGGAATTGTTATGCCTATAATTCACATTATATGCCTATAATTCACATTATATGTTTTGGTAAAATTAAGTCTTTTTAAAATCGTCTATATTTTTAGGTTAACATTTGGGTTCAAGACTAAGAGCCACTCCTCAGTCTTAAACTCAAATATTAACGTAAATGTATAGACAATTTTAAAATTTTCAGTAACTATTTACATGTGGTAAAATTTGTTACTTGAATTCAAATGATTTAAACTCGAAATTTACTTATGAAACTCAAGAAAACTTAAGAAACAGCATTTCTCCATTAATCAAAATTTGTTTTGGTCAATTTCCTAATTCAGCTTATTGAAAACTTGCATTTACTGTACTTTTGTCTATGTTATTGAAGCTTTTGTTCTAAATTATTTAAGACTAATAGAACTAAAATCTTAATAGGGCTCATAGCGTCTGGTTATAAGTTATTTGATATAGATAAATTTGTTAAATTAAATGCTTTCCCATGAAAAGATTATATAAGATTTTTAAACATTTTAATCTGCTAAATTTTAATCAAATGTTAAAATGTTTAATCCCAAAAGATTTCCACTTCATAAAATCCCTTTTTTCTCGAAGGATTAGTTAAAATATTCGTAAATAAACCCATAATGTTTGGAAAATTGTTAACTAAAATCAATGTTTAGTGTGCTTTCATGCTAACAACTAACATTTATTAAAATATGTAAGACCCGTCACCATTGATCCAATATGTTGTTGTGGTTGCTCCATATATGTAAATCCCGTCCTAATCACCCATTCAGACCTTGAAGTAATATTTACATGAGGTAAATAGGAGTCACTCATTAGTAAATATAACTCAGGAGAGAGTGAGAAAGGCTTTGTGTAAATTCCATATATAAATTTTCACAAATACATAAGTGTGGTTTTTGTTCCAACATTATATCAAAGAATATGTCACATTATATCAGAGAATGTGTCACATTATATCAAAGAATATGTCACATTATATCAAAGAATATGTCACATTATATCAAAGAATGTGTCACATTATATCAAAGAATATGTCACATTATATCAAAGAATATGTCACATTATATCAAAGAATATGTCACATTATATCAAAGAATATGTCACATTATATCAAAGAATATGTCACATTATATCAAAGAATATGTCACATTATATCAAAGAATATGTCACATTATATCAAAGAATATGTCACATTATATCAAAGAACATGGCACATTATATCAAAGAATAACCATTACAGTGGTTTAACTGTTCTAACTACTACTACTACTGATAGAATAACTGATCTTAACAAGCTATAATCAATTCATATCGTTAGAATGAATCTCGAGTTGAATTCTTCAATCAAAATCTATCAAAATCCTCATAGATTTTGAGGATTGAGAAAATCCTCAAATCCTTGAAATCTTTGAAAATCCTCAAAATCCTTGAAATCCTTGAAAATCCTCAAATCCTTGAAAATCCTCAAATCCTTGAAAATCCTCAAATCCTTGAAATCCTTGAAAATCCTCAAAATCCTTGAAATCCTTGAAAATCCTCAATTACCTTGAGAAAAATCAGCAGAAGCTATAGGAAGGGTTCGAACCTGTACACTTGGTGCTCTCAAGCGCACACCCTAAACCACTGAACCACGACATGGTTAAATTACCTAATTTCAAACAAAGGGTTTTTAAGGTTTCTATAATCTCTTACTTTTTTTTATAGACTTTATGTATTTTGGATTTTTTTTTATATATTTCAAACTGATTTGTATAAATTGTTGAAATCTTATTTATAAGTTTTTGCTAATTTTTTTTTTGAGTATGTTGTTTATTTGTTTCAAAGAATTGTTGATGGAAATTGTATCAAAAACATTTTGATGATATTTGTCAAAATCAGCGATTCAATAAATAATATTTTTATTTGACATGTTGTTTTTGACAAATCTTTTGTAGTTGTAATAAAATTATTTAAAAACAATATGTAATTAAAACCAAAATATAAATTGATTGTCTTTTCCAAAAAGACAATTCGAATTATCTACGGCAAACCACGCTCTTGAAACGGAGTAATTCTGTTGGCAGTAGGGGTTATCTTGAGATGATTTCGGGGCTTTTTAGTGTCCCCGCGGCCCGGTCCTCGACCAGGCCTCCACCCCCAGGAAGCAGCCCGTGACAGCTGACTAACACCCAGGTACCTATTTTACTGCTAGGTAACAGGGGCATAGGGTGAAAGAAACTCTGCCCATTGTTTCTCGCCGGCGCCTGGGATCGAACCCAGGACCACAGGATCACAAATCCAGCGTGCTGTCCGCTCGGCCGACCGGCTCCCCGGCATTGGTGGTGGAGGCATAGTTTCAGTACAACAACTTCTCTCCCACGTGTATGTGTGTGTATATATGTATATGTGTTGACAGATCCACACACTAGAAAGTGAAGGGACGACGACGTTTCGATCCGTCCTGGACCGAAACGTCGATTCTCAAGTCTCAACCGTTGAAACGATTCTCAAGTCGACTGGGAATGGTCCCAATCGACTTGAGAATCGACTTGATTCTCGATTGTGTTTATCGAGAATCGACAAGTCACAATCGACTTGAGAATGGTCCAGGACGGACCGGAACGTCGTCGTCCCTTCACCTTCTAGTGTGTGGATTGGTTTTGCATCTCTTCGTGAATTTGTTCATTTGATGCATCAGGCTATTGTGATTTCTGTGTGTATTGTGTTATTGGTTGTGTTAGCGTGAGGGGGAAGGGGCTGTGTTGTAATTGTTTCTTGTGGTTATTGACTCTGGGGAGTAGTAGAGTGTTTAGCTGTTTAATGTATATTTTAAGAAACGCTGTTTGGAAAGCAATTGGAATGAATAAACGATAGTTGATGTAACTGGGAGATTGATGTAGAAGAGATAGACTTACACTCTTGGCTAGTGTGCATATATATATATATATATATATATATATATATATATATATATATATATATATATATATATATATATATATTACTGATGGGGAGTACCAAAAGAAAATTTTGTGAGAACACCTGCGAAACATTCTTTCATGAAAACAACTGTGTGAAACATGTGTTTTGTCCGTTAATATCTATTAAAGGAATGCAGGTTGCTTCATGCAGGTCGGCGTTCAATCCCCGACCGTCCATAAGTGGTTAGGCACCATTCCTTTCCCTCCGTTCCATCCCAAATCCTTATCCTGACCCCTTCCCAGTGCTATATAGTCGTAATAACTTGGCGCTTTCTCCTGATAATTCCCCTCCATTCACCTCAACTTCCACAAATGCACTAAAAATGTTGATGTTAAGATTAAGAAGGTAGTAAAGAAGTGCAATGTAAGATTTAAGTATCCTCAACATATCTCTAAGAAATTGGCTCAAATTACTACACAATTATCCAAGGGGTTAATTTTGTAGGTAATTTTTTTTTGTAGGGAAATATGAGAATTTTTGCTAATGACGGACACAATAGATTCCTTATTCTTACAGCCCATATATTTTTTTGTCTTATTAACATTTAAGAAAATGTAAATATTTGCATTTTCTGTAATTTTGAGCATCTTTGGGCCTTACAAAATATCTAATATATCCAAATAAGAAAATTTTCTTCATGTGGAATATTTGTATTCTTGAAATGACAAAGCCATAATTTCTTCAAAGATGAAATTGTGAAATTTATTATACAAACGAAGGTGAATGTTTGACAAAGAAATCATTGTTTGTAAATGGAGGCATAACCGGAATATGACTATGTTATATCTTTCCATCAAGTTAAGTTTGGTTAGGTTAAAGTTGGTTAGGTTCCTCCCCCCCCTCGTCCCATCCTTATCCTGATCCCTTCCCAGTGCTATATAGTCGTAATGGCTTGGCACTTTTCTCCTGATAATTCCATTCCCTTGGTTAGGTTTAGTCAGGCAAGATTACACTAGATTATACTCAGGATAGGTTTGGTTAGGCCAAGTCAGTTCATGTAATAATTATAACCAGCAAATTATCCCTTGCTGCAGCCTTAAGTGTTTCAATTAAACTTAAATAAAAGTTCAGATTAACATTCATGTTATATTAATAAATGATGAACAAGCTACGTGTCCAACAGAGATTTTAATGTTATCAAATCCGGTGGAATTTCATTAAAAATATTTTACTTCAATGTTTCTAATGTATATTCAAACATTCAAAAATTAAAATGTGATACATAAACCGTTGAATAGAATATGCTCCTCTAAAGCTGTCATTTATCCAAGTGAAAATTATTCATATCGACTGAAAATACTACATAAGAGTGATACTACCTAATGCTACATAAAATAATACATAATAGTACATAAGAACGCTTAGAAGATCAGTGGAGACAGCATATTTACCTGAAATTTACCTCAGGAGCCACCATACCTCTAGTGGCCACGTTAAAAATTTGAAAATTATACGAAGCAAAAACTTCAAATTTCTACTCGTCCTAAAAACAAAATGAAAACTAGCTTAGACCTTAAAGTGAAATTAGCAAAAAAAAAAAAAGATCATGTTTCACAAATTTCCAATCATTGTTTTTTTTTAAGTCTATTGGAACCTGAAGACCGTGGCGTATATATTGTAAATGGCAGACTTTAAGACCTTTAACGAGGCTTTTGAAGCTGTTCCAGCCGAGATTAACGAGGGCAGAAAACGAGGGTATTGGCAGTGACTTCTGAAACACCTTTCTGATGCCTTTGTTAACACACACGAGATAAAGGTCAAAAACTGACGTAATATTATATATATCATTTCATAAGAAAAAAAATTGAAAAATATATAAATTCAGTAAAACTTGGCTTATTAGGCAAATCGGGCTTTGCATAGTGGGCCGAGTACTGCGTTCTGGTTACTAGGTACAACATAAATAATCTTATTGTAGAATTAACTTATTGTACGTTAGATGTAGTGTTGACAAATATAGAAAGGAAAACATGGGCATCAGCCAGATAAATTGTGGAATGTATTTGTAAAAATAAATCTATAACTGAGAAGACTCTAGACGAATAATGGAAATAATGGTTAATTGAAACTTTTATGTTATCCTTTCTCTTAATTTTGCAGTTATAAGACCCCTACGTGGATTACAGTGCCCTTGTGAGATCCCCTACATGGATTACTTTCACTCACTTGGATTATTAGGATACAGAGATCAAAGTGAATGATTGAAAAAAAGGTTTAAGGAGGATGACATGAAGGTTCTAAAAGTATAAACCCAAATTATTATACAAAAATTGTTGACCAAACTACACACTAGAAAGTGAAGGAACGACGACGTTTCGGTCCGTTCTGGACCATTCTAAAGTCGATTGTGAGAATGGTCCAGGATGGACCGAAACGTCGTCGTCCCTTCAATTTCTAGTGTGTGGGTTGGTCAACATACTTCAGCCACATGATTGTGACTCCTCGCCTGCATACAAAACAAATTTATATACGAGAAATTTGAGAAAATAGGGAAGTAAACATTGAGCTACAAATCTATGAAGAGAGTTACCTAGTATTATTACCAAATAAAACTTACTGATTTTTTTAAAGCAAAGGCTACATATATAATATAGGTATATTCGTATGGGGTGGATAAAAATAACAAGATGGTAGTTTGGTGTTTGGACTTGAGGCCTATCAATCTCTGGAGGGGTTATTAAGGCCACCAGCAGTGCTACGCCACAGATATCTAAGAAGCTGAGAACTGCTATATTCATCTTAGAACTGCTATATTCATCTTAGAACTGCTATATTCATCTTTGAACTGCTATATTCATCTTAGAACTGCTATATTCATCTTAGAACTGCTATATTCATCTTAGAACTGCTATATTCATCTTTGAACTGCTATATTCATCTTTGAACTGCTATATTCATCTTTGAACTGCTATATTCATCTTAGAACTGCTATATTCATCTTAGAACTGCTATATTCATCTTAGAACTGCTATATTCATCTTAGAACTGCTATATTCATCTTAGAACTGCTATATTCATCTTTGAACTGCTATATTCATCTTAGAACTGCTATATTCATCTTAGAACTGCTATATTCATCTTAGAACTGCTATATTCATCTTAGAACTGCTATATTCATCTTTGAACTGCTATATTCATCTTAGAACTGCTATATTCATCTTAGAACTGCTATATTCATCTTTGAACTGCTATATTCATCTTAGAGATCCTCTTGGCCTCCTCCACTACATGGAATACTTTTGTGTCTATATAACCTTGAGAACTCTATATAACCTCATGAAGCTGGTTGTAAACTCGTGGAACTCTATATAGCCATGTGGGCCTCTATATAATCTATGGGAATTCTATATATATATATCTCCTTCTGGAGCTCTATATAACCTAGGAGCTTTTTATAACCATAGGGAGTTCTCTACACCCTTATGGAGGTCTGTGTATAACCTTGGGGAAGCTCTATATAACTTTTACAAGCTCTATATAACTTTTACAAGCTCTATATAACCTTTTACAAGTTCTATATAACCTTTTACAAGTTCTATATAACTTTTACAAGCTCTATATAACTTTTACAAGCTCTATATAACTTTTACAAGCTCTATATAACCTTTTACAAGTTCTATATAACCTTTTACAAGCTCTATATAACCTTTTACAAGTTCTATATAACCTTTTACAAGTTCTATATAACTTTTACAAGCTCTATATAACTTTTACAAGCTCTATATAACTTTTACAAGCTCTATATAACCTTTTACAAGCTCTATATAACTTTACAAGCTCTATATAACTTTACAAGCTCTATATAACTTTACAAGCTCTATATAACCTTTTACAAGCTCTATATAACTTTACAAGCTCTATATAACTTTTACAAGCTCTATATAACTTTACAAGCTCTATATAACTTTTACAAGCTCTATATAACTTTACAAGCTCTATATAACTTTTACAAGCTCTATATAACTTTACAAGCTCTATATAACTTTTACAAGCTCTATATAACTTTACAAGCTCTATATAACTTTTACAAGCTCTATATAACTTTACAAGCTCTATATAACTTTTACAAGCTCTATATAACTTTTACAAGCTCTATATAACTTTTACAAGCTCTATATAACCTTTTACAAGCTCTATATAACTTTAACAAGCTCTATATAACCTTTTACAAGCTCTATATAACCTTTTACAAGCTCTATATAACCTTTTACAAGTTCTATATAACCTTTTACAAGTTCTATATAACCTTTTACAAGTTCTATATAACTTTTACAAGCTCTATATAACCTTTTACAAGTTCTATATAACCTTTTACAAGTTCTATATAACTTTTACAAGCTCTATATAACTTTACAAGCTCTATATAACCTTTTACAAGCTCTATATAACCTTTTACAAGCTCTATATAACTTTACAAGCTCTATATAACTTTACAAGCTCTATATAACTTTACAAGCTCTATATAACCTTTTACAAGCTCTATATAACTTTACAAGCTCTATATAACTTTTACAAGCTCTATATAACTTTACAAGCTCTATATAACTTTTACAAGCTCTATATAACTTTACAAGCTCTATATAACTTTTACAAGCTCTATATAACTTTTACAAGCTCTATATAACTTTACAAGCTCTATATAACTTTTACAAGCTCTATATAACCTTTGCAGCTGTTGTTGATCGATGTTGTAAGCATCTGTGATAATATCTTAACTTTTTAAGATTGTTTTTTAAAGATCTTTTTTTTAAGATTTAATTTTTTTTTAATATCTTTTAATTTTTCTTAATTTAATTTTTTGAGAGAGCAAATCAGTCACCTTTGACGGTAGGGATGCAGCATCTCTGTGTGTCGAGATGAATGCATCATCTGGCCAAACAGATCTACGACAGATGCTCAAACGATGCATGGATGGGGCTAGACACCATAACCCCGTGGATCATCAGAGGGGATGGTGGAATGGGTACGGGGGGATGGGGAGAGAGGAAAAGGGGATGTGAAAACGATAATAGAATGTAAAGGGAATGTTGGTGTTAGTGTTCAATGAAATGGACTCTCACACACAATAGGGTCCTCGCGGCCGAGTGGACAGAGTCCGGGGTTCGTAGTCCGGCGGGGCCGACACATGATTCCTCATAGCAGCATTTTTGGTGACCCCCCCCCTCACTATTCATGCCTCACTCCCTCACTATTCATGCCTCACTCCCTCACTATTCATGCCTCACTCCCTCACTATTCATGCCTCACTCCCTCACTATTCATGCCTCACTCCCTCACTATTCATGCCTCACTCCCTCACTATTCATGCCTCACTCCCTCACCACCCATACCTCACAATCTCATGTTTATACGCGGCATTAAGGATTGCAGGATACTAAGAGCAGACTGTTCCTCATTAATGAGAAGGATGGGCCACCAGTAAGGTGTTCCGGGTGAGGGGGAAGATGAGGGGTGAGGTGGGGAGGGAGAGGGAGGGGGGGGGAGAGGAGGCACTCCCTGGCACTGTAAGCTGGCAGTGAAGAGGGCCAGTGCCAAGTGTGGGATAAGCCTTGACGAGTGTGTTAAAGTGTGACCCCCCTCACTACCACCCCCCCAGACAGTCTCCACCACCCCCCCCCCTCGTCTCGTGTTAGGGGGGGGAAGGGGGTAGCACAGTTGAGTTATGAGGAGGGGGGGGGAGCTCTGCTACGGCCCGATTTACCAAGCATTTACGACTCCATTCACGAAACATCTACATCTTGCCTTTGTCGCAGCGGTTTTAATTTAATTTAATTATTTAATTAATTTAACAATTAATTATTGTTGTAAACCCAACAATAATTGGGTTTACAACAGCGCTTCGGGTTCGTAGTCCTGAGGTACTGGGTTCGATCCCCGGTGGAGGCGGAGACAAATGGGCAAAATGTTTCTCTCACCCCTGATCCCCCTGTTTACCTAGCAGTAAAATAGGTACCTGGGAGTTAGACAGCTGGTGCGGGCTGCTTCCTGGGGGTGGAGGCCTGGTCGAGGACCGGGCCGCGGGGACACTAAGCCTCGAAATCATCTCAAGATAATCTCAAGATAGGAAGATAACCTCGTGGCGATTCGGAGCTCATAAACCACTGGGCACATGTAAACAAGGGTCGCTATGGATGAGGAGGGATGTACAGGTTTCGCAAGAGGACAATTCAGTTTCTGATGAGTCGTGGATCAGGTGCGAGAGAGGGGCATTGTTCTATATTGCTGATGTCATATTGTCCTGATGGGCAAACGGAGATTAGGTCAACAAGGTCTTTCGTCGAGTGACTAATCAGATTGAACCTGATTGCCCCGAATAGACAGTCACCCATTCAGTTACTAGCCAGACTGAACCTGATTGCTCGAACAGTCACCCATTCAGTTACTAGCCAGACTGAACCTGATTGCCCGAGCACCCATTCAGTTACTAGCCGGACTGAACCTGACTGCCCGAGCACCCATTCAGTTACTAGCCAAACTGAACCTGATTGCCCGAACAGTCACCCATTCAGTTACTAGCCAGACTGAACCTGATTGCCCGATAAGTCACCCATTCAGTTACTAGCCAGACTGAACCTGATTGCATCACGCCGCTGGCTTGACCATTCAGAAATTACAAACAAATATTTGATATTTGTTTCATTATCATTAATGTTAGACAAATCTGTGTTAGAGTGAAACTTGAACGGCCATCATCA